GCCCTCAGCTCTGAGCAGCGCCCCCTCCCCTGGCACGCCTTGATGGAAACCCACCTCCTCGACACAAGTTGGGCTGGCTCTTGGAGACCCAAGAGGCCGGGGGCCAGCCTCTGAAGCCCAGAAGCCCTGCTCCCCAAGCTCCTTCAGACATGTGCACTCACCTCCACGCTGCTCCAGGGGAAGTCTCTGCTTCCCTTGAGGGACGAGAGATACCACTCCTTTGTCTCGTGCCCGCCCGTCGTGCTCCAGCAAGGCAGCCTTCCTCCTTCCAACCTTTCTGGCTCGCCTTCGTCGGAGCCGGCGGGTTTGGGCTGTGCTCCTTGCTTAGAGCCGTCCCTGCAGAAGACCGTACAGGCATGCCCTGGGTGAAAATCTCAGAGCTCGGGTCCTGAGTTTGCAGAACAGAATTTTCTAAATCCGTCGCTTCTGTTTTCATCTTGCCCCACCCACTTCTAAATCCTTCTCTTTCCCGTGTACTGCGTGTGGCAAGGAGAGGCCAGGGCCCCTCTGGGATCGTGATGGGAAATTCCCACAGCCAAGGTTCAAGGACGTACTTTCATGCTGTGCCTCCTATCAGAGGTTCAGACAAGCTCCCCGCTGTCCCACATGGCCACCTCTCCTCCTGAGGCCCCCTCAAGCACATCCGTGTCCACATGTCGGGCAGCATTCTCTCACGGCACCATGTGCCTTCTCTGAGAGGACAGACAGTCCCTCCGGCTCTCCCCACTTCCTTCTGAGCCCTCACCAGACCTGCCGCTGGCATCCACAGTCTCTTGGGCAGTCTGACCTTTACTGTCAGATACTGTTTACTGTCTGAACGTTCTTCCAGCCTCCGCCCATGGCCCGCCTCCAAGCTGCCACCGGGGCAGGTATTTGTCAGAGCAGCACCCCGCTCTCGGTACCAAATGCTGTCTTGGTTCACTGAGGACAGAGCACCGCAAGTGGATAGCTTTGACAAACCTAGCGTTGTCTTCTCTTAGCGTTGAAGGAGGCCAGAGGTCTCAGGTCTGAGCGCCACTCCATGGGAAGGCTTTCTGGCGCTGTCAGCCCCGAGGCAGGCCCTCGCCTGCTTACTGGAAAGCTCGAGGGGTCTTGAAACCCACTTTTCCTGGGT